GACAACGGGGTCAGGAGTTTGTCTAGCGAGGACAGAAATGTAGATGCTGCTGCCTATTAAAACTCTGGACCCATATCCACGAGGCTCTGTACCAGTCACTGCTAAAACTACATGGGAAATACGCTGGGGAAAAGCACAGAGACAGGGACAGCGTTGCTGCAGTCTGCGAGTGTATCCTGTTATCTGTTCTTCCTGGAAAGATGTTCAACACTGGATTAAAATAGCAATAAGGGGAGCTGTGCCTAGGAAACCATATAGTCTTCTGTTAGCTTCCTACACAATGCTGAGCAGAGGAGACTTCCCCTGAAGTTTTGCATGCTGCTGCTACTTATGTAATTTCTCTCTGCGTCAACGAGGCTTATATGGCTTTCCTAGGCATCACTGCCTGTTCTTCAGCTTCAGGGAGGGTGCTGAGGATGTAGCAGGGTGGAAAGGCTCCTCCAGGAAAGAGTGGAGAGCCTGAGAAATGGGAGCTGCCTTCAGTGGCACTGATCTGCAGGCTCAGCCTGTGCTCAGGGCTCTGGGGCAGCACAGCACTGGGTCCTTCTGGCCCACAGAGAGCAGGACAGGCTGGGCAGTAACACCCTGCAGGAGCGTGGGCAGTGCTCCACTTGAGGGAAAATACGCTGGGAAGCTGAAGTGAAATCTATTTTACTCATATTGGAGATACTTACATGCAGTGTTGACTGTACAGCCACGTTGTGCTGGTGGGTCTGCCTTGCAAGTCAGAGGATATTTTGTGTAAGGGGGATTTTAGGGCCCCTTGTGCAGATCTGGAGAGCAGCTCTTTAAAAAACGTCCTCAAGACTATTTCCCCCTTGCTTTTAAGGAAACAAAACGCAGACAATGAAACTTGATTTTGTTTCCAGGTTCCCTGACTGCCCAAGAGATAAGACCTATGGAGCCGTCAGTGGCAGGCAAAGGCAAATATAGACATGGAGAGATCTGACTGAAGAAACTCATCCAGAAATGACAGCAAGGGAAATAAAGAGAGACTGGCTGAAGCTCTACCACAGACAGCAATATGGAGAGAAAGCAGGAAGGTGGTACCAGAAGAAAGACAAAAGGCAGGTAGGTAAATGTTTTAGGCAGAAGCGTAGGAAGAAACAAGGAAGGCTGTGCCAGCAAGAATAAGAGATATTCCCACTTTCTTGGTCTAAAAGGTCTATCCATACGTCAGTAAAGAGGTTACAATGGGTAGAGAAGTGACTCAGATGAGAGAGAGCGAGAGAGAAGCTATGCCAAAGCCTCATCCAGACGGACAGGAGATGGCCACAGCACAGGACAGGTAACAGATGCAAGGTCAGGGAACAGGGTCTTGACATGTTGACAGGAGAACAATACATCTGGGAACTGACTGTGTAGAAAGAAGATGTTGAATGTGACTCAGAGGATATAATGATTTAGTAAATGCTTACATTTAATTAAGTGAACAAGTACAAAATGTCAGGGACCTGTACCAGCTCCATTCATTCCTTATTGTCCCAACTGTCCTTACTGTGACCTGTGGTCTGTGGTCAGACCATGAGTTTGGTGTTAATTATTGACCTTAGTGTTTAAGGCTGACCTTGCTAATGTGTGTTTACATAGTTTTTATAGTACATAACAGACTTTTCCCTTTCTGTTTATTCCATCTAATTTCACTGTCACAGTCTCCCTTTCCCAGCTCTCTCAAAACCTGGGAGGGTAATTGAAAAACTAGTTACTAATTGTGGAAATCCTTGCCTTAGAGAGTTAGCAGCGCTCTTAAAGTAAAAATTATTACATTGAAAGCTATGTAAAATCTCAGGAGGCCCAGAGACGTTTTCTCTGAAATTCTCTGCTCCAGTTTCAGGCAAAAAGTCCACTAATGCCTCAAAGGTAGGAGGGAGGGAAGGGAGCCAGCGTTCTCCAGCCATTTGATGTGACATCTCTGTTGGGGACAAGCGTTGCATCTCTGGTTGTCAAAACCCTGTCTCCTCCGTCAGGGTCAAAACAGACCCACTTGCAGTTACACTGATGTGTGCAGAGCTTTTGCACACCTTCCCTCTGACACACAGCACACAAAAATATACATGAATATAGCAACTGGGTTCCTTTGAAATCCTGCTGGCTTTAGTATTTTTATCTCACCTCTTAGCTGCACAGTCCCAGTAAACTGACAACGTTTTGACACATCTTCCTTGGGAGATTAGTACCTCCACAGCCAAAAGCAGGTAACAGATCTGGTAACACGCATGCAAATTGTTCACCACTTTCCTCCAGAAGGCCCCAGACTCAGCTGCTTTTTCTGACAGACGCTGGCAAGCTGCTGGCTTCACACCAGCCTCCTTCCCCAGCACTGTCCCAGTGGCATCAGGCACAGCAAGAACCAGTCTTGCCTGCCACAACCTGACAGCAAACAGCAAAGACATCAAACAGCATGAGAAGCCTCCTCATTCGTGCCAGGGAGGTTTGCTTTGCTGCTCGTGAGAGTTATCTCCCCGATTTTCCCATGCTAAGTGCTGCATTCCTGCCCTCTAGATTAAAGTGTTTGTTTCATTTCCTGGAACTGAGCAGAATTGTTTAAAAACAAAGCTTCTATATTCCCACCACAAAAACTGCCCTAGGACGGGGTTTTACTTTGCCATTGCCCAAATCCCGCTGAGGAAAGTCACAATTCCGATGTGGGAAATAAAAGAAACAAGCTGTGAAGGTCCTCTCTGCATGCCACAAAATATAATAATAATTAAAAAAAAAAAAAAGAGAAATAAACCACAAAAGCAAAAGCGTGACAGTCCTCTCTTCCACAACCACCCAGATAACCTCAACTCTGTGTTTTTAGAGACCACAAATGATAAAATCACTTACTCCTCTCCTGCAAGTGCTATGCCAGTGGCTGTTACATCGACTAGATGCGAACCCCGTGCATACAACCAATGTCCGACAGGACGAGTGACACAATACTTTAGTCTTATGTCTTTTGAGTACACAAAATCATATTTTGCCAGAAAGTTTGGGGTAGCCTGAACGATTAATTGCTTCGTAATTACAAGAAGTAATCGTTGTTTATGAACGGGAGTCAGGCTACTCAGCAACTGCATTAATCTCCTGCCAGGCAGCGCA